TTGTAAAATTCATTTAAATGGGTTCAGCCTTAATAGTAATCCTGTGCTAAAACCATTCAAAATTAATACAGTCCCATAGCTACTAGGCAACGAAGAGGAAGGCTGCTTGACTATCCTGTTCTAACCATATAGCCACAAATTGATCATTCTTGCTTAAAATGCTGAGTGAGACTGGCTGTTCTCATGATGTAAACGTGAGGCACAACGGATGAAATTTTTTTAAAGGCTAGAATTTTCGTCAGCTGAATAAAAACAATATTTTGATATAGAAATTGCGGACCTAGCTAACGTAAACCCTTAAGGACCCAGGAATTGGTTAAAGTGGGAAACGATCATAAAGCAATATGATCTAAATTGCCAAACAAATTGCTGTGGGGCTGCGAGTCCTCTTCTGGCTAGTGAGGCAGACACGATACTGTCATTTGAGGCAAAATTCTCGGAGCCGATCGAGGCAAAATATTATTCATTGAAAAGGTTGCTTAAAATTGTGTAGAAACAGGCCAAATGTGTGCATTCTCTTTTTTCACTCGTCCTGTCCCCCTAATTCAGTCTTTTGGGCGCCGGTTCGGATCCCGAGTCATACGAACTGCATTTGTGTGCCAAAGATTACTGCTTTGGTCGTTCCGACCGCTTGATCGGCCTCACCGTGCTTCAACTGCGTGATCTAGCGGCCAGTGCAGGCTCAGCAGGATTCGATGGATTGGAAAGTGCCGGAGGAAGTGATGGCATTGGAGGGAGAACTGGTGGCCATGGTAGTGGGGCATGCGCATGCTGGTGTCGACTGGGACGAAGGCTTCACCTGGATGATACTGGCTGGACCATACTACGCATTTTGTCTCAAAGACCACAGGATGAAGTGGCACGGGACTTCGTAAAAATAAAATCAGAGGTAAGATAAAAAGATAAGAAAACACGAAAAAGGAAAGGAGAAGTTCGGTACTACTATTTCACATCTCTACTCAATCAACCCAATTTATCTCATCTCAACTCAAATCAGCTTAGCTTATTATATTAAGGATCGTCTAATCTCATATAGTTACTTCTCTAATCTCGTCTCTTATCACATTTTATTTTATCTCATCCTCTTATCCGATCTCATCTCTTCTTATCTGTTTTTATTTCTTCTCGCCTCATCTCCTATCATTTTAACCCATCAAATTTCATCTCGTCTCATCTCGTCTCATCTCTTCTAACTCACTTCATTTCGTTTCATCTCGATACTACTCTCATCTCACGTCATCTCTCCTTCTCTCACTATTTATTCGTATTGCGATACTTTTTCTCTCTTCTCTCCTCTCCCCTCATCTCATCTCACCTTTTCATACCTCACTTTATTTCTTCTCATGTAGACACTTCTCCTCTCCGTTCCTTTCTTCTCTCCTTTTATCTCATCTTTTTTCATCTCATCAAATCTCTTCTTAGCTCTTCTTATCTTGATGCGTCTCCTTTCATCTCATCTCCTCTTTTGTCCCCTTATCTCATTTCTTTATATCTGACTTCATTTCTTCTTATCTCGATACTTCTTTTCTCCTTTACTTCATTTAATATCATTCTATTTCTTCTCATCCAGATAATTGTACTCTTCTCTCATCTCATTTTTTTCATCCCATCTCTTCTCATCGCATCTTATTTCTTCTCATATTGCCGTTTTTCCTCTCCTCTTATCCCCTCTTCTCTCATCCTATCCCTTCTTATCTCATTTCATTTCTCCTCATTTCAACTTACCTCGACACATGTAGTCTCATCCTATTTATTTTCTTCCTGTCTTTTCTTTTACCACCTTTTTTACTTTTTCTAATGTTATTTCATCATATCTCATTTCCATTTATTATAAATTATACTATTTTCTTTTCTTTTTGTTTCTTTAAGGTTCGTAGCCAGGATGATTCTGATCAGCCCGATGCAAACTTTGGTCCACAACCACTTCCAAATTCTTTTCAGGCCTCCCATCCTTATAAGAACATTGGTGCTGGTCGGCAGTGCCTACAGACCCCGGCAAAGGGTTGATCGTATTTGTTCATCCCTCTCCATTTTTGTTTCCCGTACGAGTGCGTTCTATCCTCTTTATTTCATATTTCCATCTACATTTTCATCTTATTTTTCATGCTCTAGTGAGGAATTATGGCCATTTTTCGTGGGTGAGTAGGTTTTCGAGACTACCACTAAATCATATCTATGAGTTGTGTTCACTCAATTTCGTTTGAGCTAATGAAGGACTGGTAGTTGAATTTTCCCACGATGATATGAATAGAGCTGACGTTTCCATTGACTTTCACGTAGCTTTGCTTTCCCAAAAGGTATTCTCATCCAGGGCGGACTGTAGTTTCGACCTTGCATAGGCCTTATTAAAATCCCCAGTGGGACTCGAACCATGACAGCGCAGCGCGTAATCTCGACACGATAACCACTACGCCACATTGCCACGAGTAAGTTTTCGAGACTACTAGTAAATCAGATAAATGAGTTGTGTTCACGTGTCGAGTTTAGACGCTGCACTGTCATGGTTCGACTCCCACTTGGGGTGTTGATAAGACCTATGCGAGGTCAAAACTACAGTCCACACTTTTGGGAAAGCAAGGCTATGTGAAATTTAATGGAAAATATCATTGTGGGAAAATTCATCTACTTCTACCAGTCCTTCATCACCTTAAACGAAATTGGGTGAATACATCTCATACTACTGATTTACTGGTAGCCTCATCTACCAGTCCTTTATCACCTTAAACGAAATTGGGTGAATACATCTCATATTACTGATTTACTGGTAGTCTCTAAACAATACTTAAACGCGAAAAATAAATAACGTAGTCGATTGTTATAGCAACTCATATATTATTGCAAATTATTTTATTTTTGAATACTTTTTGCATTGCAATGATAGCCATTCTACTCTCATTAAGTTGGAAAATAGGCTTAAGTTTATGCATTGAATTAATCTTCGCTTTGTATCTGCAAATTCTGGACTGCAGCTTTTCCTTCACCCTACCGTCTTATCAATATCGCAGAATACTGGTCCCCTTGATCCATTTCTTCATAGTTCCGATTCCTTCGGGATATTGATGAAATGATGAGTCCATAAACATAGCCCTTTGGGCTGTACGGCATGTTGAGTTTTTCCTCACTTCCTCGTAGCTAAAATAGCTGACGCCTTCGAAATTGGCTCAGTCTCCCAAATCAAAGTGGTTA